TTGACAATCTGCCTATCAGAGTTGGGACCATGTCAGTGGCATTACTGGGTTTTGTAGTGCCAGAACTGGACTATGACTGTATCTTGGGCACTTCATTCTTGCATAGAATGGAGGCAGTCCAATTTTTTTGTCATGAGGGGTCATCCTGGATCGCCTTACAAGATCCTGAGACTGCTCAGGAACAGACCTTTATGGTCTGCACTAAAAACGATTTCAAGCATCGATTGTCTGCTAATTCAACCAGATAAGAAGAGTCTACTGAAAGGATTACGAGACTAAGAAAAGAAGGCAAACAAGAGGTTAAAGAAAAAACTTTGGTGGATATCAACCAAGTTTCGAAAATAATAAAGGCCCTTGGTAATCTCAAAGATGACAATGGACAAATTGAGGCATTTAAGAAAGTTGTAGAGACTGCTAAGGGAGGAAAGATGGAATTGAAATTTGCATCGACTCATCCTTTTTTAGGAAAATAGCCACTGGGTCAAAGAGAAAATACAAGCCCAAGGGGGTGAAGAAAAACCCGGTGGCAGTCCTGAAGCATTGAAAAAAGAGAGGAAGATTGTTAAAGCATTAAGAGAGTGTGCAAAATTGGGGAATAAAGTCACCAAAGAGAGATTTGACACAATGAAGATAGGCTCGGATCAGTTTATCCTGCCTAAAGAGAAATAATATATCTTCAAAATGTGTCAGGAATTCTCTGGTGCATTCTCCTTTGATGATGAAGAGAGAAGGCGGTTGGATGTGGATATGATCAAGATGGCCAAAATTTGGACAGTTGATCATATTCCATGGAATGACCAAGTATGCCCTGAAAGAAAAAGCGGAGGTTGTAAAATATATTGACAAAAAGATTGTTTCTAATGTTGCTGAACCTGTTGATGGACCGTATGCTAACCACTGGTTTTGCTTTTGGAAACCAGGGGGTGGATTGAGATAGATACAGAATCTTCAGAAGCTCAACTCTGTGACGGTACGTGATGCAGGTAGTCTTCCTAATGCAGATCTCCTCTCTGAATCTTTTGCTGGTCGATGCATTTAGTCCCTAGTTGATTTATATTCTGGCTATGATCAGTTTCCCATTGATCCCACTAGTCGGCCAATGACTGCCATGCACACGCCAAGAGGCCTCATTCAGATGTGTGTGGTACCTCAGGGTTGGACTAATGGTGTGGCAGTGGTTCAAAGGGATATGGTCCAAGTCATGCAAGATATTTCTCGTGAAATAACCAGCCCCTATATTGATGACAATCATGTGAAAGGACCCTTGGTAAAGGATGAGACTTTGGTAGCAGGTGGACTCAGGAAGTTTGTCTGGGAACACGCTGAATGGGGTAAAATGCTCCTAGAAAAACTTCAGAAATATAACCAAACTGCCAGTGGACCAGAGTCCCTTCTCTTCCAGCCAGAGGTAATCATCCTGGGATTCAAATGTTTCTCCAAAGGTAGGAGTCCTGACCCCAAAAAGATAGACAAGATCTTAAGCTGGCCTCTGCCACTCAAGAGAGTGACGGACGTCAGAAGCTTTTTGGGTGTCTGTGGATTCTGGAGGATCTTTATTCCTCATTTTGCTACCCTTGCAGAGCCTCTGAGGGAGATGGTGAGGCAAGGGGCTAATTTAGCATGGAATGAGAAAAGACAAGCCGCTGCAGAAACTCTGGAGGAGAAATTAAAAGATGGGGTTGTAGTGCTGGGAGTGCCTTTTTATGATGATGAGGAAGGGAGGCATTTCATCATTGAGGCTGATGGAGGACCAATTGCTCTGGGTGGTGTGTTCATTCAGAAAGACGAAAACGGGAAATAGATGCCTCTGAGATTTGAGAGCAGGATTCTCAACTCTACAGAAAGAGGTTATACTTTATTCAAAAAAGAGTTGCTGACGATTATCCATAGCCTCAGATGCTTCAGTCACTATATACTACGGAGGAGATTCATCCTGAGGACTGATGCATCTGCTGTGATTGGTGCCATTAAGAAGCACCAGCAAGTAGATCCAACAGTCAGCAGGTGGATTGCCTTCATCTGGACTTTTGATTTTAAGTTGGAAAATATTCCTACTGAGAAGAACAGAGCAGATGGCCTGAGCCGGATTGAGTGGAGAAAAGATGAAGAAGAAGATGTAAACGGAACGATTAAAATTTGCCTATGTTGATAATTTTCTGAATGAAAAGCATGATGACTATGAAGTACCACGCTCCTATAAGTGGAGTTTGTAGCCTGAAGCGAGAGACAACTGGGGAGAGATCCCCAATGCCTATGTTTATGAGTCGATTTTTGGGAAAGAAGAAGAGGATGAGCCAAATGATTGGTATGCTAGAGTTAACGCAGCAGTTGTGGCTGCTCATGAAGTGGAGAAAAACTTTGGTTCAAAAGAAGACGAAGAAGGTGAAAAGGAGGAAGAAAGATTTTTCACTTCTGAAGAATATGATGGAAGGTATTAAGAGGTTGGTAAGAGGATGGGAAAAGAACAACAAAAGGAATACTATTGTAAAAATTCAAGGAAGAAGTTCAAGTTAAAAATAGGACATCTCTTTGTGGATGGTAAGAGAGGATTACCTCCACTAAGAGTGGTTTGTAGTAAAGAGAGACAATTGGAAATAATTTTTGCTCTACATGAGGGAGTTGCAGGCGGCCACAGAGCTGCTGAGGCAACTTACTCTAAGACTATCAAGCTCTACTTCTGGCCTGGCATGAGGGACATGATTTTCAGATTTTGTAAATCATGTGTGTTATGTCAGAAGAGGTCTACTACAAGAAAGATTGAACCTTTATTTCCTACTATTCTGGTGGAACCTGGCAGCAGAGTTCATTTGGACCTCATCACCATGCCACTAGGCAAAGGAGGGATGAGGTACATATTGAACATGAGACAAAAATTTATCTGGATATGTTGAGGCAAAAACTCTGAAGAGGAAGACTGTCGAGCAAGTGGCTGACTGGATAGAGGAAGTCTAACTCAAGTATCCTTTCATCAGAGAGTTTGTCTCAGACAGAGGGTCAGAGTTCAGAAATGAAATTGTAAGAAGAACCACTCTCAGATTGGGGGTCAGAATTCGATATGTGACAACTTACCATCCTCAAGCGAATGCGCCAGTCGACAGAGGTCACAAGACCTTGAAAGATTCATTGGCCAAATGGTGTGAAGGAAATCTCAATAATTGGCCAAAGGTATTAAGAGTTGTTGTTTATGCTGACAATATAACAGTCAAGCGAACTACTGGCTATGCTCCATTTACTCTGTGGTATGGCCGATATACTACTTTGGCTATTGAGAAAATTGTCAAGACATGGTTAAGTCAAGAGAGTGACAAAGACTGTTCTATTTGAGAGCTTCTCCAGATCAGAATGAGAAAAATATCAAAAGTTGATCAAGCAGTGATGGATGCTGCAGAGAGAATGACAGGCCGACGACCTGAAACTAGTCCGGCCTCACTGTCGGGCCGTAGGGGTACCGCTACACGATCCTCGGACATGTGAATGGATCAAGCAATACATCAAACACGCTATCCGCTGAAATAGCGGAAACCCAAAAGGAACGGCAAAAGAAACAATCCGAGATGCGGAGCAGGCTCCATGCAGGAAAAGGGATGCAATGCAGACTAAGCCGCAAGCCTAATCTATACAACAATGTCGTCTGTATCTGACCTGTGTCGGCCAAAAAAGAGAAAAATGTCTAACCTGTGTCGGCCAAGGAAGAGGAAAAATGTCTCATGAGCCAAATAGGCTGGATATAAATCAACCCCAGGGCCCTAAAGGCCAAAGAATAAATAAACCAATGTCCTAAGTCGAAAACCAATGTGGCAAAGTCTCACGTGCCCTGTACACAATGCACAATACCTGATCAAAGGAGAAGGGAACTCAGTCGCGTGGCAAAGGTAGGAATGGGTGGGAAGGCGGCAGGTACAACTCTCAGAGTAAACTCCAAGGGGGCACCCACACAACCAAGGGTCATCAGGCTCAGAGGGAGAGTAACAGCACGACACCGGGCTCAATGGAAACCATCAAACGGGTACCGCCAGCTGAAAGGGGAAGGGCACTCACATAAGGGAGCGCACATAAGGTGAGTCTGGAAGGAAAGAGAGGGTCATGACGACATAGACATGTGGCCAAGAGCCGCGGGCAAAAAAAACGTACACTCCAGAGGAGGGCGCGCAGCATAAGGTAAGGCAGAAGGGCGGCAAGCGGACACCCACATAGACTGAAGGGTAAGCTCGAGGGTAAGTATATATGGGAATGATGGGAACTCCGTAGCCGAAAAAGTGAAGTAGTCCAACTGATGAGTCTCGAGACTTAAGTCGAACCGAAGTACCGCAAGAACCAAGTAGAAGTCCAGAACAATGCGACAGGTACTCTGGTATTGAGGAGAAGCATTGAGGTCGGACGTCGATGTAGAAGCCCAATGTAGAAGCTAAAACCGGGAGCTGTTGCATAAGTGTCCAGGAATGGTAAACGATAGAAAGCGTATGGGGGGTATAGATCAGTCACGATAACGAGAAGGAAGTCGATGGGTACGCTGAGGGCGAGAGGAATCAACTGCAGCGGAACCACGTCCACAGGGGAAGGAGGACCTGAGGCGGGTATCGGTGGAGCAGGAGGACCCATCGATAGAGGAGGGGAAATGTTAGTGGCCGCAGAGGTAGATGGGTTAGTAGTAGAAGGACGAGAAGTAAGGGGGGAGTATGACAAAGGGAAAGGATGAGCACGATCGTAAGCATGCACGAAAGTCATGGCATGCTTCGGGTGCTCAGGAGGCTCCCAAGTAGACTCCTCGTCAGGGTAACCCTTCCATCGAACGAGATACTCGAGGCGGGGAGGGTCACCATCAGTCATTCGTCGGGACGCGATACCAGAGACGACGGACTCCTCGTGCCCCTCCATGATGATGGGAGAGGGGCGAGGGTAAGGTTGACCATGGAACTCGGGAGGAGACCGTCTGAAGGGGCGCAAAAGAGATACATGGAACACGTCATGTAAGTTAGCGCGGTACATGGAATCGGGGAGCTTCAATTTGAAGCTCACCGGACAGTCATGGTTGGGTCCGGCGGGTGCAAGAATGGTGCATGGTCCAATATATCGACGTCTGAATTTCCGAAGCGTGTCAGCTTCGGGCTGGAAGTGACGTGCGTCGACAAGAACCTCGTCGCCAACTTTGAAGGGATGATCGATGCGAGAGTGGTTAGCGCGAGTGGTCATGCGAGCCTGGGAGTCAGTAATGCTTTCACGAGCCTTGCTAAGAAGCGCATCCATCTCCTTTACCCAGTCATCGAGGGAAGGGCATTTGGTGTCGGGATGGATCTGAGATGGACGGAGAAGGTCAGATGGGACACGAGGATGGTATCCCAAGTCACAGTAGTAGGGAGACATGCCAGTGGCAGGTGAAATAACATGATTATAAGCAATCTCTGCGTGGGCAAGGTGGAGATCCCAATTAGAGTCATTCTCAACAAACTTATTGAGGATACTCCCTAGAGTTTTGTTGGTGACCTCTGTCTGTCCATCTGACTGGGGGTGATAGGAGGAGGAGAGGCGGAGCTCGGAGCCATAGATCTCATGGAGTCCACGCCAGAAATGAGAAGTAAAGCGGGGATCGTGGTCAGAGACGATGCTAGTGGGAAGACCATGATGAATGGCAATACGGTTGTAAGTATAGGGAGGTGATGTCTTTGGCTGAACTAGCATACTTGCAAGGGAGGAAGTAAGCATGCTTAGTCAACCGGCAGACAACGACGAAGATGGCATCGTGGCCTCATGGGCTAGGGGGATGAAGAGGACCGATGAAGTCCATAGAGACAAAAGTCCAACGCTGAGGGGGAATGGGTAAGGGTTGAAGAAGACCGTAGGGGGGGGGGTTGGGGATGTTGGCCTCCTGGCAGATCCTGCAGGTGCGGACGTACTCCTTAGTGGAAGGACGGCGGTGCTCCCAGTAGTAATGGCGGTAGAGGCGGTCAAGTGTCTTGAAGACACTGAGATGACGGGAGACTCACCTCTGACCCCTACCCATTTTAGGTTTTGCTTTAACTGAAGATATTGCTTTATTCGCCTTAGTGATGGTTTTCTTAATTTTATGGGCGACCGTGACACTACCAAATGAATTGCTCCTTCGCACTGTTTGTTCTCTCAGGCGCGATAGCGAAGGAGACGCTGCAGTAGTCCCCACCCCCTTATATTCCTGGCGTCGCTGATGACGGTACAGTCGAGTCTCGCGATGGAGAGTGTCCAGTTGCTTATCTATCTCGACAGCTACTTCCTGCTGAGCGTAACTATACTGCCGACGAGCGTGAGGTCCTTGCGCTGGTCTACGCTGTTAAGAAGTGGCGTCATCATTTGCACGGTCATACTTTCACCTTTTTGACGGACAACTTTGTCCTCGCCGCCTTCCAAACGAAGCCTAAGCTCACTTCTCGCTAGGCTCGTTGGTGGCGTGACCTCTCGGAGTTCGACTTCACCATCAAGAAGATTTCCGGCGAAAGCAATCGTGCTGCAGATGCCTTATCCCGTCGCCCCGACCTTCAGTGCGAGGCTCGTCAGTTATCTGCTATCTGAGCTTCCACCATCCACCCCGCCTTTCTGGATGAGTACCGCCGCGCATACACCCAGTGCCCTGAGTTTCAGTCCATCTACGCTGACCTACAGGCTGGCAAGCCCGTACCTAACTTCCAGCTCGATCCCTCTGGACTCTATATTGGCTTGGTCGCCAAGGTACTCGTACTCCCCGCTTATGCGTGCCCTCTACTGGCCAGCTCCGCGTTCGGGCCGTCGCCAAGGTACTCGTACGCCGCCTGGGGGTGGGCTCGATGGGTGCAAGATGAGCCGCAGTCGCTGGAGGTGGAGGAGGGAAGCGAGTAATGCGAGGGAGGCGGGACTCTGTGGAATCAGGAGAAGTAGAGGGGGCTGGGTAGATCTGGAAGAGGATGCGTCGGTGGTGACGATGAATGGACGCGAGTAGTCGGGTAAGTGTAAGACAGGGGCTGACGTGACAAGCCATTTGAGAGAGTGGAAAGCATCCTCATGAGCCGGGTTCCAATGAAAAGGTAGACGTCCGCGGGTCAGAGGGGTAAGCTGGGAAGAATACTGCGCGTAGTTTTTAAGAAAATGACCATGGTAGTTGGTCAACCCAAGGAAACTACGCAGCGCAGAAAGAGAGGTAGGACTGGGCCAGTCGACAATGGCCTGAATCTTCGAGTCGTCCATGTGGAGTCCGTGCTCGGAGACCTGATGCCCGAGGAAGTCGACATTGGGTTGAGCGAAGCTGCATTTAGAAAGCTTCGCATAGAACTCGTGGTCTCGTAGTCGCTGCAGGACAGTGCGAAGGTGGGTCAGGTGATCCTCTAGGGTACGACTGTAGATCAGGATGTCGTCAATGTAGACTAGAACATAGTCCTCAAGAAGGTTTTGGAACATCGTGTTCATAGCCGTCTGGAAAGTGGCGGGGGCGTTACGGAGACCGAAAGGCATGACGGTAAACTCGTAGTGCACGAAACGAGAACGAAAAGCGGTCTTGGGCTGGTCCTTCTCGGCTACGCGGATCTGGTGATATCCGTTACGAAGATCGATCTTCGTGAAGAAATGGTGGCCGGAGAGGCGGTCAAACAGGTCATCCGCGCGAGGCATGGGATAGCTATTTTTGACCGTGTAGTGGTTCAGACTGCGATAGTCAATACAGAGACGAAGGATGCTGTCCTTCTTGCGATCGAAGAGGACCGGGGCAGTCCATGGGGAAGTACCCGGTTTAATGAAGCCCTGGCGAAGCAGCTCCTCAAGTTGGCGCTCGAGTTCCTGGGCTTTGGGAACCGAAAGGCGATAAGGGATGCGATTCTGAATGCGATAGTTTGGCTCGAGCTGGATGTGGTGCTCGATACCACGCATGGGAGGAATGCTGCTGTAGGAGACGGATAGTGGGAAAACATCGTGATACTCACGAAGGAGGGCACCAACGCTAGGCGGTAAGGAAGAAAGAAGGGTGTCAAATTCCTTGGCAGCGGTAGCGTCTGAAGCAGAGGTGGAGGGGGTCTGTATGGGGGTAGGGACTGAGGGTGTATCAGTGGTAAGGGAAGCGAGAAAGTGCAGTGGGCTAGGAGGGGTAGAGGAGGTTAAAAGAAGTTGAGGAATCAGGAGGGTCGCGGGGCTCGGGAGGTGGTGGATCGAGCTCGACCAACTCAACATCCTGATGCATGGAGTTGCAGGTGAGGAGATCCATGATGTCGACAACATAAAGTTTTACATCAGGCTCACGAAGGAGGTGGTGGAACTGGGTAGGCGTACAGATGGTGACATTAACCGGGGGGGAAAGTGTAGAGTCCGATTTGCCTAACAACGGAATACGGTATTGTTTCCCATCCTTGACGTCGAGGACGAGATCGTTGTGGGTCCAATCGAGGCCGGCATGAGCGAACTGATGGGAATAGGCAGTGCCAAGAACAAGATCATGTAGGGTTTCCATGACATTGAAGGTCCACTTGTCATGGAACTGAGGGGCCTTGCGAAGGTTGTGGGGCATCCGCAGGGGGAAGGAGAATGGAAGATCAGGCACCACCGAATCGACGAAGGATTTGGCCTGATTGTCGCCAAGCGTGACAGTGACAGTGGAAGGGTAGGGGGATGTATAGAGGGATGCCTCCTTAACTACGCGAGGATGAATGAAGTCGCCAGTAGAGCCAGAGTCCCATAGTGCGCGGTATACTCTAGTAGAGGACCCGAGGCGCATTGGAATAATCGGTAAGGTGCGATCAGGATTGTGTATGCGTTGAGACATCGCAGACAGGGTGCGCTCTTTAAGGCGGATACGTTCCTGACGGACCTTAACACACTCAAGGTCCAGGAAGTCGATGATATCCTCGACTGCAATGAGGGAAGCACTGCAGCGCGCCGTGCGAGAAGCACGCCTAGTAGGAGGACGAGGAGGAGGAGGGCACTGGAGGGTGGGCCAGCGACGCTAGAATCGACCAACGATGAAGTCAGGTTCGAGTCCTCAAAAGAGTAGCAAGCGGCACGAAGGTAGAATCGCGGGCGGGTATGCCTGCTACTGTGGGAGGATCGAGGGTGCGGGAGATCGCCACTAGGTGGCTGCGGAGCTGGAGGTCGAGGCGGGGGGGTCAGGCTGAGGGCGGGACTGCTGAGCAAAGTGATGCTGGAGGGCATCGGTGTAGGGGCAGGTGGACGGAGTGTGACCAGGTAGGCAACAACGGGCACATATACCTCGTGCACGGAAGTCCTCACTCTCCACGATAGTCAATCGGGCGCGGGGGAAGACGTAGCCCGATGGGAGGGGCAACTGTGTGGCGGAAGAACGGGTCCTCGATGAGGACTGGCGCTGCTTGAGGAAAGCAGAGAAGGCGCGGACGAGGTGCTCGTCCTGGTCGGGGTCGTCGCTATCCACAAGGGACTGGGGGTCATGTTCCTGGACCGGGTCGCTATGGGATCCGTCCGAACCAGTACCCTCCTCAGCGCTCGACGACTCGCAGAGCATAGTTTGGACACGGCGGAAGAAGGCATGTCCAGGAACTTGGCGGGGACTGCGGCGAGACGTGGAGAACTGGCGGGGGCGAGATGTGCCAAGGGCAGACGATGTACGACTCTAAGGCATTGTTGCCACCAAGCCATTTGATCTCAGCGATCCGTGTGATCGGGTCACGGGTAGGCATCGGGCGAGAGAAGTACTGTTGGAGAAAATCACGAAACTCCGCGTACGTCATGCTCGCGTGAACGCCCTACTGAGCACGAAGGGCGAGAAAGTCGCGCCAAGTGGAAGCCACTCGACCGATGAAGCGGGCAGACATCTCCGTAGGCCACAAGTCCATGTTTACCCCATGGTACCGAAGTTGCTCCTCGGATGTGGTGATCCAGCCCTGGAGTTCAGAGGCCTTGCCATCGAACTGGGGGACTCTGTCGGGGTGGTACCGAGGTACATAAGGCGGGGGCTGGTAATGAGGAGGGAGGGGGATGGCACACTGCGACAAGAGGACAGAAGAACTAGGGGTACCCGCAGGGGCACTAGACAAGGCAGGAAGCTAGGGCAAAGGGCCGTGAGACAATGTGGTGGTCGGTGGAGGAAGGGTAAAGTGCATCGCAGCGGCCTGTGTCTGATGCTGTCGGTAGATGAAAGGGGCAGCAGGCTGTGCCATGAGGTGGGGAGGAAGGGGTTGACCTCCTTGGAGTTGGCGGATGTGATCATGGGCCAGGGTGAGCTGTTGTTGGAGCTCGGCATCCAGTGTCCTGGGTGTAGGGGGGGGGGGGGGGGGGGGGCGAAGGATCGGGGGGTGAAGAGGGAGGTGTCGTGGAAACTAACGTGGAGGAGGTGGCGGGACAAGATGCCATGGGTCCTGAGGAGGGAGGTGCAGGGGCAGAAACCTGGGAGGCCGAGATGGATGCAGAGGAAGGGCGGGATTGGGGTGAGGACATGCAGCCCGTGGAAGAGACAAGCGTGTAGATGACGCCAGCCGAAGAAGGAGAGGAAGCTGGCATAAATGCAGATGAGGGGGGTGGGGAGGGAGATGTACCGGTACAGGGCTCCAATTGTGACACGCGGGCCGGCAGGGATGAAAAGTTGGTATAGAGGGCCATGAACTTGGCCTCGAATGTGGTCCGCATCTGCTGGAGGAGGGCCAGTACCGGGTCTGACTGGGTGGCGGGGCCCGAACTGGCGGGCTCAAGGGTGGAAATCTCTGCCGGGTCAAGACATGATGTCACGAGCTAGAAACGCAAGGCCTTCGCTGATGGAGCGGGAGGGACTCGCTAGCTCAGTACTCTGCATAGAGTCAGGGGATGAAGAAGATGAGGAGGGAGAACTGGGGCGGGGGGGGCGTTCAGTGGCAGCAATCGGTGCATCGAAGCGAGCGAGTCGGTTTGCGGCACGAGCGTCTCGGGCGAGATTTTGGAGTGCGCGCTGATGATGTCACGGGGAGCCAGGTTGGTACGCAGAAAGAGGAGTAAGGGACTGCGAGAGGAAATTTCAAAGTTGGAGTGAGGGAAAAAGAGGGAAATTTCCAATTCGGGGAAGAAAATGAGAGGAAATTTTCAAAGAATAGTGTGGGGTCTAGACGAGGGCATGCATAAGACAATCACGATTTCAAAATAAAATCCCGAAATTATTTGGACGTAAATTCGGAATTTACAAGAAATTGAAACAATATTCAAGGAATTTCAAAGTATTCGTAAAAATTTTCGAAAGTTCGAGGAGATGATGAAAGATGTAGAGATGAGCTGATAAGAAAATTTTCAAATAAAATGGAAAATTCCTCAACGTATTTTCGGAATTAAAAGAATTTCAAAGGCAATTTGAAATAAGAGTAGAGAACTAATTCCTAAATTAAGAATTTACGATGAAATTTCATAAAGAATTAGTAATAGACGCGTAAAGTAAGTTGAGAAAAATTCTAGGGTTGTCTATCAAATGAATAAAATTTCTTGACTTGTTACAAGATTAAAATGAATTCCAAAGAAATTTCAAAAGAATTTCCAAGGAATTTCAAAAGAATTGCAGAATTTCGTAATGTTACGGGGGAGGAGACAACAAAATTGATTTGACATCAGAAGAATTAAATTTAGTAAATTCCGGAATTGATTTCACGAATTTTTGAAATGGAATTGAATTTTGAAATTAAATAACAAAAAGAATCTGATAAAATAAAGAAATTCGCATAACTTTTGAATAAAAGTGCCGGAAATAATTCTGTTCACGGCGTTGGTGGAAAAGAAGATGAAGATTAATCCTGTTAAATTATATTGAAATTCTGAACGGCAGAATGGACGGCATTGTCAGGCAAGCACAAAGAAGGAAGATACGTGTCACACGTAGTAGAAATTTTGGATGATGCGACCAATTAGGTGGGAGGGTGGAGAAGAGAAGGGGGGGTTGGAGAGGAGATAAAAGATGGGGAAAATGATGAGATCTTTGAGAGAGACCGGCGAGAGGAAGGGGGGGGATAAGTAGGGGGGAGATAGATTGACAATATCGCGCTCTCGGTCGGCCGAGAGCAATTAAGGTTCTTCCTCCTAGTCGAGGACGGTCTTCAATCACCCCTAAAGGGTCTTCTCGATTGTTCCCCCGGTGGAACGACGAGGTCGTCGGATCAAATGCGCACAACGAAGGAGAGAAGTCGTGGCAATGATGATGTCGACAATGGCCTTGATGATGATGATGATGATGATGATGATGATGATGATGATGATCCCTGAAGATAGCGGCACCGTAGATGTCGGGGGAGCAACAAGCAACGTCGTTGTAAACGCTTGATTGCCCCACGCCACCTCTAGCTTGAAGTCTTGAAACGCTAGAGGATTGATAGGCCACGCCCTCGCAGTTTGTATTCGTACGTTCTCTGACAGGTGCGCCGCACACGCCAAGGTCCAGGTGTGCACGTGCGCGCAGGCGGGAGGTAGTAGGGGAGCAGCGTGGTGAGAGGTGGGAGGGGGGGGCGATCACGCAGGGAAG